TGCTAAAGGAGGGTGGCGAAGCAGTTCTCGGATTAGTTTTGTGGAGGTCTCGCTAGCAGCGCCTGACTTGAGTTTCTCTACTGAAGTGTTGCCACAGTTAGTGCAGTGGGGTATTACACAAGGTTCCGAAGATGCCTGAAGATGAGTTTCCAAAAAGTGAGGGTCGATTGTATTGTGTTTTCCTGAGTGTGTGTGCGTGTATGTTTTTGCTGTTTAATTTTGAAATGTATTTATAAACAAGCGAGACTTTTGTTGCAACATCTGTGTGTGTGTGTGTGTGTGTGTGTGTGTGTATATTTTTGTTTGTATGTGTACATTTTGTCTGGTACAGGGGTCTGAGTGGTTTCTTTTAAATCGTGTGTGTTTTGGTGAATTTTTTTAAAAAAATCCCCTTGTGTCTCATTTCACCTCCCCTTTTTTTCCCAACTTGTTTCCCCATTTTAATTTTCTCCTCCATTTCTTTTCTCAGTATGACGACTTGTCCCACTATGGGATAGACGGGGTATCCATGGCTAGTTATGGAGAGTCACACGCCTCTCGGAATCTGGCTCACCATCTGAACCACGGCCCCGGCATCCACGCACAACACTACCCGCCTGGAAGCACCTCTCACCGGGTACCGTTACCTGGGAGTCTGGGCAATAACATCAACGACAGCCTGAAAAGGGAAAAGGATGCGATATACGGGTAAGTGATCCCTCCTCCACACACACACAAAGTTGTGGGCATAAGGGGGGGGGGGGAAGATTGTTTTATTTTCAAAGAAAAACAAAAGTGAAGTTGAGTATAAATTGTTTTGTGTGTGAGGGGAGAGATGAAACTGTAGCTCCAGTGTTCGGACGCAAGCTCTGCAGAGACAGAAACATGGGGAACACAAGAGGAGTTTGTTAAACTTTTTAATTGCAGAGGCGAAATAAAAAGTAAAGCAAATAAATTTGCAAACAGAAAGCGAGACAGGTCGAGGAAGCGCTGGAAGGAGCGAAGAGGCAAGATTTGATACTTTGGAGGCGAGAGTTTGAACATGGAACAGAGCATTAAGGAGAAAGCCGTTGGTTAAAAATGAGAGGAATTCCTACTTATATTCAACAATGAGTCACCTTAAAGTGGGGAATATTCTGTTGTCTAGAGTGGGATGTCTTTTGAGGGTAAAAATGAAGTTTAAATATAAAATCTAGGATTTCAGGTCGTATGAATTTTAGGAGATGCAGATCAGATTATTGTCCCCTGTGTTTTGATTTTTCTGCAACACTCTCACTCTCCCACACCCCAAAAAGTCCTTTACAATCGTCTGTTGGACAACGGGTCTCCCTTCTCTAGGGTCTCAATCGCCAATTCTAGACCGGAACTTTAGAAAGTAAATTGTCAAATCACCACCCTCCAATCCCAGACTAGGGTAAATGTTTTATACATTTCTGGAACGTCTAATAGACAGCTCCCTGTACAATGGGGGCAAATATCACCCTTTAACATCAGACTGTGTCCTCCCCCCAACCCTAGCTCTAATGTATTTATCGTGGTCGACTTTGTTTCCCACAAACTCATGTCTGTTTTGGAGTTACATATTTGCCTTTATTGCTTGAGAATCGATGTGAAAAATCTGGGAACAGTTTGAGTGTGTGTGTGTGTGTGTGTGTGTGTGTGTGTGAGGGGTGGGGGGGGTGGGTGGGTGTCTTATCTCGACCCCCTTCCTCTGGGGAAGCCCTGACAGTTGAAGGGAGTCAGGGATAAAGCGGGGGCTGCATTGAGTCAGGAACTGGGCGATTTTATTTTTAAGACAATCTTCTGAAATCCTTTTTTTTAAAACAATGCCTAACTTCCAGTATCTGATGTGGCTTATTAGCTTTTAAAATATCTGAGATCAGAGATAACAGTGTTTCCATTCTCCTACGTTATTGTTAACAAACAGAAATGTACATTTCACACCGATTTCTTGAGATTACTCTCGAGATTATATGTGTATTGGAAAGAACAAAAACATACAAACTTTCTGACAAAATGTATTTTTTTCAGCAGTTCTTAAACTCTGCACGACACAATTTGAGTACGAACCAAAAACAGAAATTGCTGGAAAAGCTCAGCACAATTTAAGTGTTTGGATAATACTTAAAGTGTGTCAATTTTCTCACTGAAATACTTCGACACAATATATTTTTCGGCAATTCTAAAGCTTTGCACGACGCTATTTAAGTGTGTGCAGACAATATTTAAGATTACTCATTGAAATAAAAAAAATTTCTCCCACCAGGACAATGTTCTTTATTTATTATCACAGAGAGATCAATGCAGGGATAGTCGTCTACAATTCAGACTGAAACGGGCTACAACCACACCCCTCCAAAAAAAAGGCTAATCCGGCGTTGACTGACTCCATTCTCGGAGTCAGGCTCAGGTGAACGGTCTTGAGGGGGAATCCAGAATAGATCCGATTGACTCTGTTAGCAATTCGCCCTTTCTCCCTCCCTATCTCTACCCGTCCAAACTATCTGAAAATCTCTCCCTACTCTAACCCCTCTACATATCCAGGGCATAGAATAAGTGATGTCTAAAACCAAGCGGTTTAAGAGTAGATGCTGTTACAAGGCAGAATTCCCACCTATTTAACAGCGATGTGTTAATCTCCACTCTCTCCCACCGCTGTTTCTGTAATACTTGAGTATTTTACGAGCTCTCTGCTAGCTTTGTATTTAATGTTTCCTCCTGCGATAACATCTCTCAAATGAAACATTGTCCACATTTTAAAAGCAGTAAGTTTTCCTCCTCCCAAGTATTTTAAAATGCGAGAGCGTTGGAGGAACGGTTTCTGCAGTTGGACCGGTGACCTTTTTTGTTTAAAAGGCACCGGGCTGTTTCGTTTTACAAATGAAAAAACACAAAAAACAAAAACAGATGCTATTTTTCAGGAGGCTTTTTGGCTCCGTGGCTCTGAGCAAACGCGAGTTATTCAAGTTGGAGCGTGAGGCAGACTGTTTCACATGTTCTGTGAAAATGTTAAATCATAATTGCAATGTGGAGGGCGAGGGTTAACGGGAACTGTGTGTTAATCACACAAAAATGTACTTAGCGCCCAGTACTTGTGTATTTAATGAGCTGATCTTTTTGACTGTGCGGTCAGTTGGCAGATTTCACACACTCGCTCTAGTTTTTTAAGTTTTTTTTTAAAAAGTTATTTCATTTTAAGGTTATTTCTCTTTATCCCAGAAGAAAATTAGGAAGCTTTTCTTTCCTTTCCCTCATGCGTTTTCAATACTCCAACAGGGAAATTAAACGCTGTGACAAAGAAACGGCAGCCTCAAATTCAAAGCTAACTTGTTTATACAGGCGCTTGGTGACTGCTCTAAAAAATAGGTGTGTTGCAGATTGAGTCCCCCTTAGATTTGTCAGAATGCGAGAAGTGGACTGATGTGCGCCAATATTTTAAATATATTGAATGTGCACTAACTGTATATCTCATCTGTACGCGCTTTGTACATATATAACAGCGTGTGGATGCATATAAAATATACCTACCATGTTCTCTTTCTTTCTCCTGTGTAAAATTCCCTACTCTCTCGCTGTACTGTTTTGTAACAGGGGCTGAAACATGCTCGCATTTTAGATTTTATCATTATGTTTAATGTACATCACTTAATCGCCTTGATTATTTCAACAACAAAAAGAAATCCTGTTTTAAAATGCTTATTTTTCCAGAATAGCTCAATATTTAAATTTATTTTCTCGTTTTTCTTGCAAATGATAGGTAGCAGAGAATTTACTTCATTTAGGGATATGTAGAAGTCCCGTTCGTCTATTTTTCTGACTTTATTTAACCACCTTTTCATTAAAAAAGTATCTTTGCCACCCAACTGTTTGTAAATTAATCTTCTTATTTATAAATATCTGTGTCTTATTTACTTTCGACCTATTTGCCGCTGTTTTAATTCACGCTTTAACCATTAAATAGAGGACAGTTTTTAAAGTGCAAATTTTTTTTGGGGGGTGTTTGGGGGAGATTTCGGTTGTTTTTTCGCTTTAAGAGGTCATTTTATTTGTTTTTAATTCAATGTTTATATTTTTGATCATTCAATTTTTTTGCCTCCACTCACTCTCCGTCTCTTCTTCTCCTCTCCACCTCCCTCCCTCTCAAACTGAACAGACATCCTCTGTTCCCTTTACTTGCCCTGATCTTTGAGAAGTGTGAACTAGCTACATCTACTCCCAGGGACTGCGGGGTAGCCGGAGGAGATGTGTGTTCGTCAGATTCCTTCAATGAAGACATCGCAGTGTTCGCTAAACAGGTTTGGAGGGAGAGAGAGCTAGTAGTTTTGGGATTGGGAGAGACTGGGTCGTGAATTAAAGGGAGGATGTGCATGAGGTTAGAGCGAGTTTAGCATTCAGACAAGTTCAGTTGTCAGAGAATTATTTAACAACGGTGCATTGTACAACATGGGTGCATTAATATAAAGACATTTTTTAAGGAAATAAAAGGAGCAGGGGTGAATGCAGTCGAGGCTACTGATTTGAAATCAGCCTCACAGACAAAGCAAAGATTATTCTTACAACAAACCTCTTCCGAATATCAACATTGCCGGGTTGCAATTACACCGCCCCAGATGACCAAAAGGGTGTGAAATCTTTCTGATTAATTTCGGCTCCGCTTGTATTTGTCTCGGAGATTAATTTAATCGCGATGGATGTTAATAAAAGCGTCAATTTCAACTCAAAATCAGATTGAAATGGATTTAATTTCATTTGGCTCTGGAAGGGTTGAGGCAGGGGTGTGAGGGTTGACTCGGTGTGTTAAACATTGGGAAGGGGGTGTTACAGCCTGGTGATCCATGTGACAATCTGGGATAGAGAGATTCCCTCTCTTCCACTCAGAATCCTTTCCCCTCAAGGGGGAACTGCTTCCAACCCCAGCTGGGAGAGACCTGGGCTATTGCAGAGAGGGAAAGCAGGCAGGGGTGTCCAGCGAAGGAGGGTAGGAGAGAAGGCACAAATTGCAAGAAATCCCCACTGTAAATTTTTCCCAGATGATTCCTCTGTTTTCCAAAATCACAAACCAGGTCCTGAACAAATCCAATATTATACAAGGGTTACTCGGGGTAAGAAAAAATTCTGGCTGAGATGATCTAGCAATGTGGCTAAATGACTGAGAAACAGCAAACTAGGGAGTAGACTGTGTATGTGAGAGAGCCACTGAATGTGTAGAAGGTGCTGAAGTGTAGACTGGGAGGTTGTACAGGCAGTGGGTACATAAACTATCCATATGTTGTTCCATATCATATTGTACATCTATGACAATGTATGACCTGTGTCAGTTATATATGCTCCTCAATCAAGTGTGTATGAGACTGGGTAATGATTTTGGTTGTGATCATTTGTATAACTATCAGTCTGTCCCTCTGTGTGTGGGCATACATGAGTGTCTGTGTGTGACTCTGTATCTGTCCATGTGTGTGTGTGTCTGTGTGTGTGTGTGTGTGTGTGTGTGTCTGTGT